ATACATTTTCTTATATCCTTTTTTCTTCGATATTCTTTCTCTCTCACACATAGATGCTCAATCAACTTATATCCATTTTTATCTAATAGAAATAGATTAATTTTAATCCTGATTTAATTTACTTTTTATCTTTATCTCTATAGTTTTAAAAATTAGGATTATGTTCTAAAAGAACTTAATTCTTTTTAATCTTAGAAGAGTTCCTCTTTATTTCTTTTTGTTCTCTTTAATTCTAATATTTAGAACTAGAAAAAGATATTAAACCGAGATTAAAATTAATCTATATTTTGATATAAAAGTAGACGTTAGGGCGACTGCGATTAAATTCTGGCTAATTTAATCAACAATTAATCTGATTTTATAGTAAAGTTTTTTACTATATTATAATCTGTTGTCCCTATTGATCATTTTTTCTATATGTAAAATAATAAAAAATTGATCATTCTATCCATGTTAACAAAATATTACACGTACATTATATTTGTTAAGTTAATTGCTAATTAAATTAATTGGAATTTAATAAAAGTCACTCTTCCATGTAAAATGTTACTCGCGATCACTCAAGTAACAAATACAGAATACAGAAACATCGCGGCTGTCGCAAGGTGATCACATGATCACGTGATCAACGTATTCGAATGTTCAAGCTCGAGATTCTTAAAATTTAAATTAGACCTGTATTTTTAGTTGAACTTCTTACACGGTTCAACTTTTCCTTTTTTCTCTCCAATGTGAAGAGAAAAGGAAGAAAGATGTACCGTGCGAGAACTTTAGCTGAAAAGAATACAGACCTATTATTATCCATATCCTTATTTCATAAAAAAAAAAATTAAAATGCTGTACCGTTTAAGATCTTATCGATGCCCATTGCACGATTTAAATAGAATTTTTTTCGGTAAAATTTATTTCTATCTCAACCTTATATCATAATCGAATTTTGCTTGTTTGCCATCGAAAGCTACGATGATGTAGCGCCGGTGCAAGCCCGGTTGAAATTGCGCGACCTAACAAGTCCAAGACCTAATACTCCTCGCGCTCGTCACGAAACGCGGACAGATCGCAAAAGTCGCCTAGAAGAGATCTAGAGTGGAGGAGGCCGCGAGTCAGTTCAGAAAAGGAGGCAGCTGCACGTAGCTCGGCTGGCTGCCGGGCTCGCTTTTGATCATGACCTGATCCTTCATGGCCTGGCGTGCCTGCGGCGAGTGTATGCCGTAGTCCTGCTTCTGATCATTCGGCGGCGGCGGTGGTTGTTGCTGCTGACCGTAATCGGCCGCGGTCTGGTCGTGCGCGTACTTGTCCGCGAGGCAACCACCGTGCTCGTCCTCGGACATGGAGTTACCCAGATGGGTGGGCGGCGAGTGCGTCGTCACCATGGTCTGATAGTCAGCACGAGTGAGAGGCCCACCAGGTGGTGGCGGGCTACTGCCACCACCAGGATTCATGTAGTCCTGATGGACTCGCATGGTGTTGCCGACGGCAGTCGGCGTGGTGAACAACGCGGCGTCGTGCTGCGTCGGCAACATGCTCGCGTACGACGAATACGAGACGCTGCCGTTGTTGCCGAAGCTCGCGGCCGCAGCCGCTGCGGTCGAGTACGACGAATTCGATGGATTCAGCAAATTCAAGTGTCCCAGATCGTACGCCGACGAGTACGCCCAGGCGTCCGGCGGCGCCGTCGCCGTCGTCGGCGACGCAAACGGATTTAGAGTATTGTTGAGCGACGTAAAGGACCCTGAAATCATAGGAAACGTTTACCAATAAATGGAAAAAATTTACCCTCTCAGAAAGGATGTCTAATAATGAGATAAAAAATATTCTCTTGACGTACTTCATCTTATCGTAATCTCTTATATATACAGTATAAAAATAAAATAATATTAAAATATTATTTTTCCTATTCTCTTCCCTCGAATTAAATAAGATTGACATACTGTCTTGAAAAAAAGTAATTAACACATTTAAAATTTAAGTTCATACATATATTACCCCCTTCCTCACCCTCTGATGTGCTTGATTATATTACCTTAAATTTAAGAAGTTTTTGTTTAAGAGTAAAATATTCTTTTTTATTTTAATAATAAATATAATTGTTCCTGTACTGATTCTATTTCATGATAGATCGAAGGATAATTGGATTCGAAAATCTTTTCTAGTTTATATGTATAAGTTATTATAAGGAATATACCCAGCTAAGCTAACGCTGAGGCCGTGGACTGATTCATGCTCACAATGCTCATGAGTATCGATTATTTGTTTTTGTTTAACATTTGATAAACAAGGATGAAATAATTCTTAACTCTAGCTATACACATTGGGGTTCCAAAAACCCCAGTGTAATTTGCTAAAGATTTTTCGTGTTTCTGAACTTTTCTTTTTCTTTGAACCTATATATCTCAAAGCTCCTTAATTCTATCAACTTTTACACATTATGGATTTTTTCTTTAATCAATTTTCCATCGATTAAAAAAAAAGTTAATTCAAATACATCCATTTTATGGAAGTTATGGTAACGAATATGGATGGAATCCCAGGGACCCGAGTATGTATATCAAGGATAGAAAAAAAGAATGTGTACAGCTAAGATTAAGTGTTGTAAGCGTGAATCGGATCGCGATCCTTAATATTTATAGAAAGTTTGACTTGTATTTTCAATATGCCGAATATTCCGAAACAGTAAATCTATAAAATTAATTCATAATTTATAGTTACACGTTTAATATGGACATAATCTAGCTATTGTCTTCTTTTAAGAAACAATTCTACTTTTGTTATTCATTAAATATCAAAAAGGACAGAATGATGTTTGGATTGAGTGTGTGATCTCCTAAAAATAAAGCAGTCATAATTATGGTAAATTTATAATGCTCGTGTGTTGCATTGAATCAAATATAGTTTTATATATATATATATATATAAAATTTTGTATGTATATATAAAAATCATATATATATTTTTTATATTTATGTAGTTGATGTATTATACAGAAAAGTAATAAAAAATATATAATGTAAAATTTTAAAACATTTCAAATTTAAATCTCTTTCTATTATTTTTTTATGTGTGTGCGTATGCCTCTACTCTTCCTCTGTTTAAAAAAATTGTGACACTTTTAAGAATAGATCGTACAAAAATGCAATTTTACCTGGCAAACCGGGACTGGCGGAACCCGCGGCTATGAAACTAGCAGTTTTGCGAGGTGGTTCTTTCTTCCGCCACTTCGCACGGCGATTCTGAAACCAAACTTGCACGCGAGTCTCTGACAGAGCAAGCTTCAGCGCGAGTTCATCGCGCGCAAAAACATCCGGATAAGGTGCTCGTTCGAAAGCTCTTTCTAATTCTTCCAATTGGTAGGACGTAAAAGTTGTTCTAAAGCGAAGAGATTGAATATAAAAATAGAGAACTCTACATATTTATTATTTTTTTATTATTTATATATATATTTATCTTTTAATGTAAATAAAAATTATATTGATGTTTTAACAGACTTAAGAGATTTTAATAATAACCTTATGAGGTACTTAAAAAGGAAATATTAATTTAAATATAACATTGATCGAACAATATTATTGGGTGCACGTACCTTGTCTTTTTCTTTTTGATGTTATTGTTATCAGTCTTCTTCTTTGAGTCCTTCTTGGCTGGCTGCGCTTCGCTACTGACTGCAAAGCAAAGTTAATATTTGTTTGTCTTTGTTAATCAATAAAGTTTAGCAAGATTATATATAAGATTAGGAAACTGTAACAGAAAGTTTCGACAACTTATGTAGAAAGGAAAACAAGCGCATTACGAAAAGAAAATGATGAAAAGGAAATGGAGAAGATTATCAAGCATGGTTACCTGGGGCGAGTGCGTTGATTGGATCGTCTGGCTTCCTCTTGAGCGCGTTACCGAGTTGCAGACTCTGCTGGAGACTCGTCGAGGTCGGCGTGACACTGGTAGATGTTGAAGTAGTGACGTCCTGAGTCTGTGGTGGCAATGGTGCATACATGCCGGACAACTCGAGCTCTTTGAGCTCTTTCTGCTGCTGCTGTTGTTGCTGCAGATGATGCTGATGCTGCGATGCGGCCTGATGATGCGGTGACGGGCTATTGGAGGAATCCAGTTTGTGAAGCTGACCACCGCCGGTCGGCATCAGATCGCCGCTTCCATGATGACCTCCGCCTGTCTGCAAGCTCAGCATCACCTGGATACTATGACCTCCGGTGGTCCCGCCGCGAGTCCCAAAGTCCGAGAAAATCGGATCGTCCCATGCTGGTGCGCCGTCCATCTTCGATAATTTCTTCTGTAAATCCCTTAAACGGGAAACCTTTTTCAAAGTTTTTCTTTCTTCAAAGAATCAAACCGAGATTTGCACGCTTCGTAAAATTTCAATGTTTCCTCTATGAAGTATATTTTTCTTGGTCACTATCAATCCGAAGATAAGATGCTGGAGAAGTTTTTCCAAGATGTTGAATTGAATTGATAATCAATTATCCTTTAGCTCTTTCTTTTTTCGCGTTAGTCAGTCTTTATTTTCATTCCGCATTCAGCTCGCACTGATATTTAATTTATTAAAAATTCAAATTATTTTCCAATTCCCAATGAACTTAAGCTTGCAGAACTTCAACTTTCAATTTCCGAAGTTTAATCGACTTAGTCCAATGTACAGCAGGATGTCACAAATCACTTCTGTTGTCTTCCATGAAGGTTTCTTTTCTGGATCTTCTCTATTAATTTTAAATCTTCGAAAGTCGAGCGACCAACACGGTTGATTTGAAATTAAATTGAAATCCGTGAGTCGGCGGGATCACCGTCTCACACCTTGGCATCGATCACGCCTATTCATCGAGGCTCTTCCGAGATTCTTTCCACTTCCCGCCGGTAGAAAAAAAAAGGAAGAGGATCAGCGTCGCCCGATTGCCCGATTGCTCGTAATGGAGCGCGCGCTTGGCAATTGCGATCAATTGTTGCCTGGGTTATGATTAATTTTGATTAGTTTTAAGCGGCGTTAACTCGCGCGATGCGCCAGCCGATTATTCGCGGTGGACCTTGGAAGAACTGGACCGAACCGACGACCGACGTCTCCCTCGAAACGAGAGAACGTCCGTCCTCTCTTCTCTCTATCGGGACACTCTCGCCACTACTCTACGTCCCGAGCCTCTGGCTAATCAGCCGCCACTCACACAGGCTTATATTTTCCATGTCACGCCGGCCCAGACCGCCCCCATACCCGGGGCCCCGGCCAATCCAGTTTCATGCGGGCGCGGTGATGCTGCCCCTCATGGTCCAGCGCCATCGTTCTCCTCGCTCCACTGTCTCAGCGAGTCCCAATGGTCAGTAGGCGACTTGTCCCCCCTTCTCCATTGTCTCTCCCCCTTTCGACCTGCGTGCAAAAAATGTCTCTTGATCTGCTGACGCGATGACGGGGGTGGAGATGACACGAGGTACAAACATCCATGCGAGGGTTACACGCTATAGGAGCTCGTGGGAATAGAAATAAGAGAATCGCTCTCGTTCGTGGGAAGTAAACGTGTTCGTTTTCCACTTTGCCAACACCTTTGTGATTGCGTTTAGAAGTAATACGTAACGTGAGATAAACTCGAAAATTAAGAGGAAGAAATATGGAGAAAAGTTCGAGAATCTTTAGAAGATCTGGACGATTTTAAGTTGTTAAGAAAAAATTTGTATTACAGGAACTAATCTTTTTTTTCTTTCATTTGCAGTATGGGATGATACAAACTATGTGTTTAAAAAAGCGTAGGTGATTAATATGCAGAGTACGTAACGCGTATCTCCTTACCTCGGTCTCATCGCAAACAATCCTAATGTGTGTTTATATTCCTCTTCTTCTTTTAGTTATGTCATCTTTTTAATCGTTTGAAATTTTTAAGTGCAGCACAGCGATACAAAGTATACGAGTATAAAACTTCCTGTCGATCAGCATTCCGTCATCAAAATCTTTGCAAAAAAGTGTAAGAAAAATATTCAAGAGACTTGCAACATCCCAAGCATCACGATATTGTCGTTTTGAACGTTAAAGTGAATCTTGATAAACCAAA